AGCTCCCTATGGGGCCACGAAACGTGTAAGGGGTGTGCCAAATTGGGTGCGGCGGCATGCCGGACGCAGCCATGGGCCTTCGGTGGAGCTCCCTATGGGGCCACGAAACGTGTGAAGGGGTGTGCCAAATTGAGGCGGCGGCATGCGACGCAGCCATTGGGGCCTTCGGTGGAGCTCCCTATGGGGCCACGAAACGTGTGAGGGGGGCCTTCGGTGGAGCTCCCTCTGGGGCCACGAAACGTGTGAGGGGTGTGCAAAATTGGGCGGACGGCGCATGCGACCAGCCATTTGGGCCTTCGGTGGAGCTCCCTATGGGGCCACGAAACGTGTGAGGGGTGTGCCGATGATGATGATGATGATGATGATGATGATGATGATGATGATGATGATGATGATGATGGTGATGATGATGACCGACAACCACGATGTGGATAATGATGACGATACTCATGGTGATGAGCATGATGAGGATGGTGATGATGATGGGAGGAGGGGGGAGGGGGCAGCGGGAGGAGGAACGCGGGGCACCGTCTCTTCAAAACGAGGACCCAACGCCACAGGATGGTTGGGACAAACACTATGCAGGGGGGGTCCCAAATCTGGCGGCCAATGCCCCAGACCCTAAGTAAGAGTTACAAAAAATTGGCGGCGGCCGCGCGCAAAAGCCAAACCGACAATATCAAGACGAGGGCGGCGGACTCTGCGCACACTATATGTACAACGTGACATGAGCATGGAAAGATATCGGTGCAGATAATGTATGTAGGCGTGCTTAACTCGCGCGCATGCGTGCGTACATTCTTACCACATATAATTTGATTTGAAGATGGCCGGGCCGCGAAATACGAGCCGGAATCCGACGCCGCAACCAATCCAAAAATACCTCCGTTCTCTTATCCGAAAGTGCCCGCAATCGCTTCCCAAATCAAGCGAAACCTTCAACCCACGAGCGCGCGCCGAAAACAGAAGTAACAAAACATGTCGAAGAAATGTATGGAAATATCACGCTTCGCCGTCGTTTATCCCCCCTAGGCCGGAACTCTCCATGCCACGTCGACGAATTACACAAAATAGTTCTTCTGACCCCCCCCAGGCCCGAAACACCCACACAAAAGGAACAACCGCGCAACCGCGACGAATTGCACAACATAATTCTGTTTCGAAGGGAGCAAACGCGCAACCGCGACGAGGCCTCTGGCCCACGGCCCAGGCGCGGTAGCGGGGTGGGCTGAAGGCAGTTTTACAAACAGCCGATGCAAATTCGCGGCGGCGGCGGCGGTCCCGAACATTAGGTGCACTTTGCAAAAGACGGATTCGGCGACGGCGGCCCGCCCAGAGACTGGGTGGCGTGGAGGCTGAGTGGACCAGGTGATGTTTCCGGGAGCCTCATGCTGCCAGGAACCCCTTGCAGCCTGCTGAGGATTGTCGGAGGAGAAATGATGATGATGATGCTGATGATGATGATGATGATGATGATGAAGATGAGTATGATGATGCTAATAATGATGATGATGGTGGTGATGATGATGAAGATGCTGATGATGATGATGCTGATACTGATGATGACGATGATGATGACGATGCTGATGCTGATGCTGATGCCGATGATGATGGTGGTGATGATGATGATGATGATGCTGATGATGATGCTGATGCTGATGATGCTGATGATGATGCTGATGATGAGGATGCTGATGCTGATGAGTATTATTCTCATCAGTACTATTATCATGATTATTACTGTTAGTATTATCATCATTATTATTGTTGTTATAACCATTATAACAATAGTATTAGTAATACTATTATCATGGGCGTTCGTATGATTAATATCATCAGCATTATTTTCATTGGTACTATTATTACGATTCGTATTATCATTCTTCTTCTTATTACGACTACTATTATGATGCTGATGCTGATGGTGATGATGATCATGGAGGTTTACACGAGATTCCTACGACTACTACAGTCCACGTTGCTAGAACACTCACCACAGCCCTCCAGGGAGGTGCACCCCTCGACGGGCCTCCGTCCGCAGCACCCTGGAAAGATCAGCCTCGATGATAGCCGCTGAGGAGGGGGAAGAGGAGGAGGAGGAGGAGGAGGAGGAGGAGGAGGAAGGAGGAGGAGGAGGAGGGAGGAGGAGGAGGGTAAGAAGGAGGAAAGGGAGGAAAGGAGTGGAGGGAGGAGGAGGATGGAGGATCTATGTGATGATTAGGAGGGGAGGAGGCGGAGAAGAGGAGGAGGCGATCATGAGGAGGAAAGGAGGATGAGGAGGAGAGTTGGAGGTAGTAAAGAGTAGGAGTAGGGGGCGAGCATGAAGAGTAGTGAGTGGAGGAGGTAGGAGAAGGGTGGGAGGGGATGGAGGTATGAATTGAATTTCTATGCTTATCATTATGATCTTAGGAGTCCGTCGTCGTCTTCTGTCTGAATCTTCATCACATCGTAAACAACAGTATATATCAACAAGCCACCATACGCTACCATCAAATTGCAACAAATCCTCCCCAACCACCCTAATCCTCCCCGCCACCTTACAACAAACCTCCAGCTGACAGGCTGATGACGGCTTGAAGGAGGAGGAGGAGGAGGAGGAGGAGGAGGAGGTGGAGGAGGAGGAGGGAGTGGGAGGGGCAGGGAGGAGGGAAGGTCATGGGTGCGAGGTGGACCCCCAGGCGCCTTGGGCCGCCGCCAGAGTGGCCGCCGCCCCGGTGCCATAGCCCAGAGTGGTACGCGACCAGGCCTGGGACGCCGCCTCCTCCTCGGTCTCTTCCTCGGCCTCCTCCTCTTCATCGGCCTCCTCCTATTCCTCGGCCTCCACAGCCTCCTCCTCCTCGGCTTGCTCCTCCTTCCCCCCCCCCTGTCTCCTCCTGCTCCCGCTGACCCCGTCCACTGCCCATCCTGCCTCTCTTCCCGCTGCCCGATAAAGAACTCCCCTCCCCCGCTTCCCTGTCGCGCCACCAGGCGTGTCCGCAGGCCGAGCCGCGAGTTTCGCTTGAGCCTTCCCTGCTTCAACATCCCAGAGCAGCAACAAGCTCCGACACTCACACATTAATGGAGGGCAGGTCGCTTTGACAATGTGGCTCTCGCCTGAGCGCCGCGCACATTCGTTTTAAACAACTTGCAGCTGTTACGAGGATCAAGGGCCAATTGCCTTCAAAATGCAGCTCCCACCTGAGTGCCGCGCGCATTCGTCTTGAAAGCCTGCAACAGGTACAATGATGGAGGGCCGGTTGCTTGCAACATGCATAGCCTATCCCTCCTGAGCGCCGCGCACATTCGCCCAAAGCTTGCAGCTGTCACTCGGATGAAGGGCTGGTTGTCTTCAAAACGCGGCTCTCACCTTAACGCCACGCACACTCGTCTTGAAAGCTTGCACCTGTTACACAGATGTAGGCCATGTAAAAAATGCGGTTCTCGCCTGTGACTTCCCTGACGTTACCAACCATGGCCTTTTTTGATGTAAGCACGTATGCGCTTAGAACTTCTACACGGATGGAGGGCGGTTCCTTTACGAGACGGGACTATCGCCTGAGCGGCAGATCCATGTGGTGCTCGTCGTTTAAATGGGGCGCTGCTTGCAGTGTCAAGTGAGGCGCGTTGGAATTATGAGGAGGGGACTTGGGACGGCAAACTATACGTATTCCAGCATCGTTGACACATCCTGGGCTCACTCTGGTCTTCATTACTTTCCTGCTTCTCCAGCTTCTCCTGCTCGTCATCTTCCATTTGCAATAACTCCTCCTCGTCGCGCCGCCAACCGTGTTGGAAGGGCGAGCCAGGTGCTCCGCCTGAGATTCCCTCACCACCGAAGGTCCTGACGCTTACCGCTCTCGAAAACTGCGTGTAGATGCAACGCGGGCAATTTTCAAACTTGGGCTCTCGCCCGAGCGCCCCGCAGAATCGTCCTCGAGGATTCCGGCAGCTGTAACCACAGTGGAGGCCCGACCCTCTTCGAAATTTGACTCTCGCCGTGGCGCCTCGCACGCTCGTCCTCGAAGCCTCTGGCAGCTCGAAGGATGAAGGGCGGTGGCTTCTCAAAGCGGGGTTGTCGCCTGAGACTGTCTCGCGAGTCACGTTCAGAAGCGTGGACTTGCGCAGCAGGTCCGTGGATTGAGGGCGGTTCCTTCTCAGCAGAGGGGCTGCACGATCCCACCTCTTTGCGCTCCCTCTCACCAGGCAGATGCCGGCCAGACCCCGTTCGGAACGGCATCTCGCCTGAATGGCACGCCGACGGGGCGCTCGTCTTTCAAGGCGTGTGGGGGGAATGCGGGGCGCGGGGCGGAAGAGCGTGGGAGGGCGGGGCGAGGGACGGAGGGGTGTATTGCAGCATTGTTGACGCATCGTGGGCTCACTCTGGGCCTCCTCCTCCTCCTCCTCCTCCTCCTCATCCTCCTCCTCCTCCTCCTCCTCCTCCTCCTCCTCCCCTCCTCCTCCTCCTCCCCACCTCCTCCTCCTCCTCCTCCTCACTCCTCCTCCTCCTCCTCCTCCTCCTCCTCCTCCTCCTCCTCCTCCTATCTCCTCCTCCTCCTCCTCCTCCTCCTCCTCCCCTCCTCCTCCTCCTCCTCCTCCTCCTCCTCCTCCTCCTCCTGCGACGCAGATTGACGACATCAGAGGGATCAGTGAGCCTGCCCCCCACAGCTGCGCTACGCTCGGGATCAGATTACCTCCGAGCTCTCAGGGACGGAAGGACGGATCACGACTGGAATCCAGCGGCCCCAGAAAAAAAAGAAAGAAACACCAAACAAACCATCAAAGCCCTCTAACGCCCTTCTTCCCCTCGTCGAAGGATGCCCGCAAGACTTCCCCAACCTGGGGACCTGGCGTGCAAACTTGGCCCCGCACACACAACGCACATGACACCATTGGACGAGTCACCGCGCTCATCGCTGGCCCACCTGCGACGCGAGCGCCCCCCCGCAATGACGACGCGACGGAGAGGGGGGCGACGGGCAAGCGGGGCGAGGGCGGCGACGGCAGCAGCGGCTGCCGCAGTCCTGGCCTGCACGCGCATGGCGCGGGCCGCCTTCATCTGGGTGGCCGCGGGGCGCTCGGTGTCGAGCGCCGCGAGAGGTGCAACCCTGTCTGCCTGCTCTCCCACAGCACGAGAAAGCCTACGCAGCTTGCTGAAACGATCCCGCACACTGAAATCCACGCGGCGCTGACAGGTTGCCTTCTTCGCCCACACACACCCGCGAAACGATTCCCAGCAATAGAGCGATGCGAGAGCGAGAGACGCTGAACCGGGGCAGGGTGGGCCTTTAATTTACCTCCACGAAACTCACCGAGTCGGGCCCCGCCCCGGCCCACCAGCTTCTCTAAGAGGAGCCCCCAAGCGTCGGCACGCGCTGAGCACAAGGCACCACAACGCTCACGCCCTAGCTCCATGATGCTTCGAAAAACAAAATCACTGTCGGTGTGAATGGTGACTGGCGGCGAAGCGACTCTGAGACCATGCAGAACAGCCGCCAGCTAAGCTCGATCAGCGCACTGAGTGGGCCCCCCCCACTCCACTTCCATAGACCACCGGCACTCTGAAGTCGGCGAGAGCACGCGGAAGGGGGTCAGGTCGCATGGCAACGACGGCCCAGCCAGTGACGCACGCGTTGGGAACATCATGATCATGGCACGAGCTACCGACAAACAAGTCCCCTGTGAGTGCCTCGCGCTCGCTTAAATAAAACTGCCTCGGTGGAACTGCGGGCAACTGCGGGAACGTGTCGTACGGCAGCAGAACTCTACTGCCAAGTAAAAAACGCCAGCTCAGACGGATCCGGGGGCAGAGCGCGGCGAAGCGCGCCGGCACGCTGCAGCCTGGCAGAGAGCACCCCGTCGCACTGGAGGTGGCGGTGATGCAGCGTGCCAGGGAAATTCTCATATATGCGGCAGGGCGGTGACTGAACAAACGTTCTCTGAGGCGCCCATTGCGCTCCAATGACAGCGGATCGAAGATAGGCATCTCTTCGGGCGAGAGCGGCGAGGCGCGACCAAGCAATTGAACAACTGGCTCGAGCAAGATACCTGCCCGAAACTCAGGGCACTGCAAAGAAGGTGCTGATCTGCTTTCCACTGCCAGGCCTCACAGGCCATGTCAATGATCTTCTGCAGCCCGTGGATACAAAACTTGGCCGGCTACGTAGTGGGGCCCGACGGGGAGGGCCCAGCGGTTAAAACCGTCGTCTTTTATGTCCAAGCGCGCAAGGTGGCCAAAGCGGGAGAAAAGGGACTGAAACGGATTGCCAAGGCCTCCTTCTCTTGGGCCCGGTGAACTCCTTGTGAATGACATTGCGGGGGGCCCGCCGCTGCTTCCAAGCAGCCAACGTGGCGCAGGGCGCTTCGGCGGAAAACTTGAAAATAAGGTCCACCCGACGCCCGGGAATGAGGGTGAGGCGGAGGGTGAGCGAAGAGGAGCTGGCGGGGCCCTGACTTCCTGCCAGCTGCCGAAGTTCCAGCGACTCCTGACCATCGGTGCCTGTTACGCTGCTACCATATCCTACACTGGTTTCAACTGTGGCTTTGGCCATGCTGGCAACCAAACGGCGTCGCTTGGCTGCGCGCAAACTCTCTGACCGTGTAGAAAGGGCAACTGCAGCAAGTAGATGCTCGCGCTTCGCGCCTCTACTCAGCCTCCGACCCGGCCCGTAGCCCGCGCTCAAATTCCTTTCAGCGCGAGAGTTGCGCCCTCCAAGACAACGCAGACTGGCCTCGAAGGGCGCCCAGGGACTCGCGCTGCTACCCAGGAAACGTGTCTTGTCCTTGGCAACTACGAGGTCTACTTTCTCAACTGACGGCCGAGAACGACCCCTGCTGCCGCCAGCTCTGCCAAGACGCGCTCTTCGGCGCCAAATCTCTGCAAGCCGATGTCACCCAACACTGCGGAGAGCGAGACTGAGCGAGCAACCCCGCGCACTCCATCCAACGGCTGTAGGATAACGAATTGCAGAATTATGTTCGCGAACACGCAGCCTGAAAGCGTGCTCTGCTCTGACAAAATCGGATCTGAAACAAAATCGCCCGCGTCGAGGACTCGCGGCTGGTGATGTCTGTCTATGGGGACTGATGAGGAGGTACGTTGAAGGCATAGGGAATCCTGCACGCTCCGCGGCGGCCACGAGTCGACGGTGGCGAATGAGCTCAAAAGCCTTTCTTCTCACATCAACCCAAACCGCCCCCGACGTCAAACCTCGGCCATGAAATCATTCAGCCCGCGCGGACTGCGCCCAGACGCACTCGTCCGCGGCCTCGCCGCGGGCCCCCCAGGAAAAGCTTTTAAAGTTTTCGTTGCCAATCATGGATCTCGGCTTTCCGGAGACGACGCGGGGCCCCCGCAAGAGCAGGCGAGAGAGCAGTCGGCCAGACACCCCTTCAGCGTTTGGCAACGGGGGAAATTTTCACTCGCGCCCTGGGCCACTCTAACCCCAGCTCGATCAAATGCAACAACTCGCTGTGGGCGTCGAGCCCTTCGAGGCCCAACTGCAAAGAATGTCTGGGTTTCACGCAGTCATAGCAATGGCCCGTGCTGGGCTCGTAACACTCGAGCACGCCGGTGAGTTCTGGACCAGTGGGGCGAGAGGGAGGCTCCATGACGGAGAGGTTCGGCCACTCGATGGGTGGGTGAAGCTGAGAGAAACACCACCAGGTTTCCCACCCAGCACGCAGACTCTCGATTTGCTCCACCGAGCCCGACGGTGAGTGATCAGCAATCGTGCAGTCTGGTGCCCATCCAGCTGGCACTTTCGAGAAAATGAGAAGGGCAGAGTCGCCCTGCTCAGTGCTGTGTTTGTCCACCCAGGCCCTCCGCCCCTTCTCTGCGGCTCGCTGACTGGCCCTGGCGACAGCGTCAGCCCAGCTCTGCGACGAGGCTTTCAAAACCAGATGCTCGCATAAAGGGGAAGGGGAGACATCGCGGCGCAAGCTCGGCAAAACTGACAGCTAGCGGGCACTGCCTGCGCCCCGAAGCAGAGCGGCAATGGCGGAGCGGGCGACGTCGGCGGGCGACATCGCCCACGCGGCCCTTTAGATTCTGGAGGTCCACGAGGACCAGCGCCATCCCTTTCCACCAAGCAGCTTCTGCACTGAGCTGCGGATGCGGTGCAGAGCACGGTCGAGGAGGGCGCGGCGTCTTCGCCTTGGGCTCTTCACCTCGACCTCGAAACTTGTCTGCTTGCTTAGGCTGAACATCGAAAACGTTGATCCATGTGTCCTCCGCTGCGGCAGCAAAGGCCGCCCGGGCTTGATCGACCGCGGCCTGAGGCCGCCGGGCGGCATCGCTCATCTGCCCCCAGTTTGGCTCGACAAGACGCCTGCAACAACAAACTGGAACTGCGACTGGAAACTTGCAAGGTTTATGACAGCGCGAACATCTGGCGGCCGCCGTGGAACGTTCAGCCTGGCTGGGGCAGGGTGACGCGGGCCAATGGCCATGTGGTCGAGCACCTCGACCCGAGCGCCAGTTGCGAGAAACGGGGGCATGACGAAGTAGTCGATGACCCGCTCAGACGGCCTGACCATTCCAACCTGCGGCGCCACAACGACGCCGCCGAGGCCCGCGACCCAGCCATTTTCGATCGCGCGCGAACAGCCAATCCGCGCCTGCGCGCTTGATGGCCTGGCCCATGCAGCATAGGATCTGCCAGCTGCGCTCGCTGAGGTCCTCGGAATCGCGCAGGTACATCGTGCCCGCAAGGAGCCTTCCTTTGGGCACATGCCCAAGGTGCAACAGTGAGGCTCGTGCAGGGAAGACGCAGCTGCTGACGTTTTCAACTGAACTTAGACCGTGCCCAGCCGGCGTGGCAATGAAGGTACCGCAAGAGAGACCCGCCAAACTGCAACCAGCATGGTCTCCTTGATAGGTTCTCACGCTGCGCAGGGTTGTAAGAAGTTTCCATCCGGACTTCAGTAGAGCTTGCTCTTGCCCATCCCACTGCCACTGCGGCACTCTATGTTCCTGAAAACAGCCAAATCACAATTTGACCATTCACTGGATTGCCTGAGCACCTCGGGCCCAGGCGCGCTGGCGACGTTCGCCGCGAGAAAGGTGAGCGACCTGCGCGGCCTGCTGCCCCAACGTCTCTGGTACATATGCACGGGGCCAGCGCGGAGTTTCTTGATCGCCTGCCCGACAAGCTGCACGGCACGATGCTTGACAGTTCCAGTTGCTCCGCCATCCACCTCCATGTCATAATCTTCCCCAGCTGCATTGGCACAAGCCTCGAGCAGCTTGGCCTCGTTCCTGCGTGCCCAGAGACGAGCAGCACGCTCATCGCCACTAGCCTCCGCAAGCAGAACTCCAGGAGTCGGCGCGGTCTGCCCATGGCCCTCCCTGCCGCCAGGCCTCCTCCCGAGGGGTAGCCAGCCGCAGCGCCAGTGGGGGCGCCTCCCGCGGGCGGCTGGGGGGTTCCTGGGGCCTGCGCGGCCTTCGACTGCAGCTCCTGCTGGGCCCGCTCGAACTCGTTGGCCATGGCGGCAAGCTTGGCCTCGAGCTCGACACCTCCGAGCTGCCTGCCTCGCTGGAGCAGGTGGGCGCACTGGTTGGCGCCAACGCTGGTCGGCGTGCCTGGCGCCGCTGCGGCGCCTCCCAACTGAGCAAGGGCTGCCGCACCGCGGACAGCTGCCTCCTTTTGCTGCTGCGGCTAGAGGTTCTCGAGCTCAGCGCCGACCTCTGCCCAGCGCGCCGCCCTGGTGAGGTCATCCCGGGCCTTGTCGTACGTCTTCTGGGCTTTGCCAAGCCTGTCCGTGAGGTGATCGCTCTGCTTCTGGGCCGCGCGCGAGACGAGCTGCGGATCACCCGAAAAGAGGCGACGCTGGTGCTGGAAGCGACCCCCCGAGGCCTGATTGAGGGTGCACGCGGTCGCCTCGTATGCGGCATGGTCCATGGCAGCGTACGCACGAACCTGCTGGTCAGAGAGTGGCGGGGGACCTTTAGCCCTGGGATCTCTTACAGATGGCGGGACACCGCTTGCCCAGGCACCGCGGGGTTGAACCTCACGACTGCTGGGGCCACCCTTCGCTGTGTTGCAGCGGAGGCAGCGGCTGCGCCACCCATAGCTGAACTTGAAACCGCGAAGCTTGTTCGGACAACGCCAGGTCTGCTGCCAGACCGCCATCGCGCACCAACGGAAGAGGGTGCAAGACACGCCGTAATGGGCACGCAAAGGCCGTGAAGGCTGATACCTCAATACAATCTCGGCGAAGTGAGCTGTTTGGGCCGCGGATCCCCTTGCCAAAAAACACATTTGTCCCTGAGCAAACGCTACGGACTTGAGCAGCAATGGCTACGGACCTCCTCCTCCTCCTCCTCCTCCTCCTCCTCCTCCTCCTCTTCTTCCTATTCCTCCTCTTCCTCCTCTCCTCTGCCGTTGCACACGCCCTCCCGCTTTTCCCAACCATCCTGTGGTGTTGGGTCCTCGTTTTGAAAAGACTGTCCCCGCGTTCCTCCTCCTCCTCCTCCTCCTCAGCCCCCTCCTCCTCCTACCGTCCGCATGCGTCCCCCCCACCCAATACACCGCTTCGTGGGAGCCCCCACCGAAGGTTCCAGGTCTACCGTCCGCATTCGCCCCCCCCACCAGTACAGCGTTTCGTGGCCCTCCTCCCCCTCCTCCCTGCGTTTCACCCACCCAATACAACGCTTCGTGGCCCCATAGGGAGCTCCACCGAATGTTCCAGGTCTACCGTCCGCATGCGTCCCCCCACCCAGTACAGCGTTTCGTGGCCCTCCTCTCCCTCCTCCTTGCGTTTCACCCACCCAGAACAGCGCTTCGTGGCCCCATAAGGAGCTCCACCGGAGGTTCTACGTCTACTGTCCGCATGCGCCCCCACCACCCAGTACAGCGTTTCGTGGCCCTCCTCCCCCTCCTCCCCCTGCGTTGCACCCACCCAGTACAGCGTGTCGTGGCCCCAAAAGGAACTCCACCGAAGGTTCCAGGTCTACCGTCCGCATGCGTCCCCCCCACTCAGTACAGCGCTTCGTGGCCCTCCTCCCCCTCCTCCCTGCGGTTCAGCCACCCAGTATAGCGATTCGTGGCCCCATAGGGAGCCCCCACCGAAGGTTCCAGGTCTACCGTCCGCATGCGCCCTCCCCACCCAGTACAGCATTTCGTGACCTTCATCCCCCTCAGCCTTGCGCTTCACCCTCCCAGTACAACGTTTCGTGACCGCATAAAGGGGGGTCCACCGAAGGTCCCACTGGCACCGCCCGCGTGCGCCGCCACCGCCCAGCACAGCCCTTGCTCCCTGCGTTTCACCCACCCAATACAGCGCTTCGTGGCCCCATAGGGAGCTCCACCGAAGGTCTCAGTGGCACCGCCCGCATGCGTCAGCCACCACCCAGCACAGCCCTTGCTCCCTGCGTTTCACCCACCCAGTACAGCGCTTCGTGGCCCCATAGGGAGCTCCACCGAAGGTCCCAGTGGCACCGCCCGCATGCGTCTGCCACCACCCAGCACAGCCCTTGCTCCCTGCGTTTCGCCCACCCAGCACAGCGCTTCGTGAACCCATAGGGAGCGCCACCGAAGAAGATATTCATACGTGCGGCACTCACAACTGCATATGGTTGGGTCCTTCGCCAGTCTAATTTCCTTGCATTTCCGTTCGTACCGTTCCTTTCATGTTCGTTCCTTCCCTCTCCTCCTCCTCCTCCGTCTCCGTCTCCTCCTCCTCATCTTCCTCCTCGCCCTCGCACTCGCTCTCCTCACGTCGCTTCCACTTCCCCACGCCCTTTCTCATCACCCCCCCTCATCCCACTTGTCCTCCTCATCCTCCTCTTCAGTTTCCCGTTGTTCGGTTTGTCCGAACAGTGGGTGCTTCCCCAGTCGCATCTATGCGTTTCCTCCTCCTCCTCCTATTTCCTCCTCTGCCTCCTGTTCTCCTCCTCACATGTGGGCTAACGGTATACGAAACTGGTGGTGGGCGCGCCGTTTTTCAGTCGGGATCTCACCCAGGCCTTGCTAGGCTGCATGTTTCGACACTCCTCGTGTACCCTGTTCTCCTCCTGCTCCTGCCCCACCCTCCTCCCTATCCTCGTACCTCGTGTCTTATTACCCTGCTATGTTTCATCCCAGGTCTCCTTTTCTCCTCACACCCCGCTTGATCCTCCTCCTCCTCCTCCTCATCATCATCCTGTTCCTCTTCCTCCTCAGGGTCAGCCTCCTCCTCCTCCTCCTCATCATCATCACCATCCTACTCCTCCTCCTCCTACTCCTCCTCCTCTCCTTCCCCTCGCCCTTTTCCCAACACAGGTCGCACCTCCCCCTCCGCGACTCCTCCCCCTTCCCGTGTTCTTCCTCCTCCTCCTCGTCCTCCCCGTCCGTTGCCTCTTGGCCCACTCCTCCTCCTCTTCTGCTTCATCATCTTCCTCCTCTCCTTCCCCCTCGTCCTCTTCCGACGAACACGTCGCACCTCCCCCCTTCGGCTACCCATCCCCTTACCCGTCCTCCTCATCCTCCTCCGCCTCCTCCTCCTCCTCCTCCTCCCACGTTCTTCTCAAGAGTGCGTGTCTTTGGGGGCGTCTCAGAGAGCGTCACGCCCTTCCAGGGGATCCTGGCGCTATGCACGCACGCCACTTTCTTGCTGTACTTGTTGACTCACAGGGCGGTAGCGAGAGCCGACAGTGTGTCCCCTACCGCCACTCCCCCCACGCTCATGGACGACATCGGGCTCCAATGCATCACCAAGGCACCAAGGACCTCAAGTATCTGGCTAATTATGGCGTCTCGGGCGTTCGTATTGGACTCCAAGGGGCTCGGCATCATCCTCAAAGCCTCGAGGTCGGGTTGCAGCCCTGGGTCTCACAAGGTTTTGGGGCACCTCGAGACGCACATTGGTTCCCTTTAAGATCCCCTGCAAGGCTCACATGAGGAACCTTGGGCATGAACTTTCTGGTCCTAGAGTGCGCAGGAACATGGAGAAGACGCGCCTCAAGCAATTTCGTGCGATCGTCCGAAGCGACATCGTTTCAAGATGCCGAGAGGCGCAGTTGGCAGGCGAACCACGTTGGTGTGAAGGACAGGAGCGCTGCAATCTGTCGGCCATGGTGGCACCGTTGTCGGGTTCTTTGATACTACGTTGGGAGAGCTGCGACTGTTCGCGGCGGTGCTGAATGGGGCTCCAGGCAGGTCCTCGACAGGTGTCACAGCAGATCTTATTAGTCACGCTAACTTTATGTATGACCCGATCTTTCATGCTACCCTCTACAGGTCGCTTTGAAATTTGTCAAATGGATATGACCTCATTATGCCTCGGAAAGTCTGATGGAGAAATTCGGGGGTAAGCCGATGTAAGCCGTTTTGGGCCGCTGCCAGAGGACGTGTTGGGGCTGTTTGGCATTCACTTCGGAGGATCGCGTGGAACCTCGTTGCTAGCCACGTTGTCCAGGATGACCTAGGTAACCTCTACGACCTCCGACACGTGCCCCGAGGGTGTCAAGGTTTGCAGAGGTGGCAACATGAGAGGCTGATCAGGCACTGTTGCACCCTGGAGCCTGGTTTCTTTCCTCCGATTTGGCACCGAACTCTGCGGCACTCTGTCAAGAGCATCAAGTGTGCACGGCGTCTTGGAGGGCTCCAGGCGCACTGGGCCGACGGCATTCCAATTCCTGCTCGACTTGATCTTAAGGCTGGAAGCTAGCTGCGCCCGTGTGCAGCGTGTGGGCAGGAGATTACGGAATGCTGGGGCCACATTCTCTACGATCGCACCGCTTTGCTCAAAGGGGGCCCGGAGGACGAATACAAACTCTTCCCTGAGCAGTTGTCCAACGTTCGGAAACGCCAGAGGGAGTCTGGAGTTCCCTGCGTCTCCTGCGGTGATACCAGATAGAGGTGGGAGCGGGCTTGCTGCTAGTATTCCAGAGACTCGGAGGTGCAGATGGTCGGCCTGCCAAGTGGACCCCGACACTTCCTTGCCCAAGAGGGCCACATACGGCCCGCTGCCGCTCTTGGTTCAGACCGTCGGCCGTGCTGAAAGACATGTCATCAACATGGGGTTGAAGTTTCAGCCGAGCCACGAGGTTAGTGTCACTGAGTTCTTATCGCTGGTGAAGAAGGAGAGCGGATGATGGTATCAAGCTCTTCAGATCTCTTCAGCACGGCCGCGCCAAGCATGCTCGTGTATGTAATGATAGTTTCACCGCTGCCAATGGCAAAACTCCTGGACGTCCTGCTCCTTTTTTTCAGTGGACACCAGCACACCGTGAAATCGACGGCGTGGTGTCAGCAGATGGCCCTTTGGTGGCCAATCGAGGACTGGCTCGGAAACGCCTGCGCCGATTGTTTCGCAAAATGCGGGGCTGTCTCACACATGGTGGCCCAGACGGCCAGCGAGAGCACAAACTTGGCGCTGGCCGAGCACAAGAAAACCCTGCAGTACGTGTCGTGGGCGGTCCACCATGTGATTGTGTCCCAGAAGTACGGGCGCGAGTTCTTCCCCGCTCCCGAGCCCCCTGAATGGCGACTCCCAATGGTGATCCAACGTTGCGATGACCATGATCTGCACGTGTGTCGACGGCTCGGGGCGTGCAAGTGTCGGGCGTGCGGCTCTACCGCCAGGACCCAGGCTTCCTTCCTTTCACTACCTGAAGTGCGGTGGTGGCCGCAAGTGTGCCCCACGTTCTGTGTCGAGAGCGCTGAATGCCGAGTGTTCCCGAACGACGCCTGGAACAGTGGGGACCCCCGCGTGGCCGCCGCCCTTGCTGCGGCCGCTGCTGTTGCCCAGGAGCCCTTGGGATAACCCGCGGGGGCCAAGTGGTGCCCGAGGTTGAAGGCTTCCCCCAGCGTACTGATGCCGCCGATGCCTTGAATGCTGGGGACGCGGACCTCGTCGCTGAGCTCGGGGCTCTTGGGCATGATGTTTTTTTTGTGTGTGTGTGTGACTTCGGCGAACTTTTGTCGTAGGTCTGCTGGTCACTGTACTGCCGACGCCGTGCGTTCCACGAGGAAGCTCCGACGTGTGCGTGCCGGGCTCTCGGGAGGTTCCGAGCACTCAGCGAAGCCAGCTCGGGGCCACCTGTCGATTCGGCCGTGGTCTCGAGCCCCGCCAGGGAGGCCCTCGAGCGTCCCTGCCCCCACACGGTGCCGGAGGGCGCCCGTGGCCCCAGCGCTCTCGGATGTGGCGGCTTTCCCGAGGCCCCGCCCCCGCCCTGGTGCCCGTTCTGACCGCTCTCGCGGCCCATCAGGCTTTCCTTTCTCATCCTGAAGCGTGCTCGTTCGTGGACGCACTCTTGGTTGCCCTGCCCTGCCCTGCCCTGCCCTGTCCTCCTCCTCCTCCTCCTCCTCCTCCTCCTCATCCTCCTCTTCCATCCTCTTCCTCTTCCATTTCCTCATCATTATCCATCTCATTCTCCCGCCCATGCTCTTCCGCCACATCAGCGAAGCTCAGTAGAACACCAGCACGGAGTAAGAAACTGATTTGTCGACAAATGCCCAACTGATGTGTCATAATCCTAACGGCCCATGGCATCGTGAAATTTGGAGTTCTGGGTGCATACCGCCACGTCCACAACCGACCGAACTGTGCGCCCCTAGGTATATGATAAAACAATGCTTCTTGGCATGTGGTATTTCTACGGTCGGGAACTTTTGGATAGCGTGTCGCGGCGGCTGCCCTGGCGACGCGCTATGCATGGCGAGCGGATAGCGTGTCACTCCGCTTCGCAGGGCGGGAGGCTCTGGAAGGCTCGGGACGTTGACGCCTCGGGACCGTGAAGTGGATAGCAAGTCGCACCGAGGCGCGGTGGGCCAGAACCAGCGCAGCGATACGCATGATGAACCTGTAGGCTTTCTGGACGGCAGCCGGAGGTCCACTGAGGGCCAGGCTTCCCGCTTGCAGCGGCGCCATCTCCACGCCATAGAATCCGCGCGCCCCTCTTGGAAACGTGGGGCAGGCAGGCGCGGCAGATGCTTCACAACCTCTGCGCCTCGCAAGATTCGGATGATGACGAGAAGCAGACCCCGTAGCGCTTCCGTGCACTTCATGCGAACGGGCACTTTTGGATGGCGTGTCGCCGGGGCTGCGCCGGCGACATGCTATGCCTGGCGAGCGGATAGCGTGCCGCTCCGCTCCGCGGGGCGGGAGGCTCGGGAAAGCTCGGGACGTTGACGCCCGAAGACCGGGAAGTGGATAGCGTGTCGCGCCGAGGCGCGGTGGGCCAGAACCGGCGGAGCGACACGCCATCCAAACACTCCCGACTGTAAATCCATGACATCCTACCGGTCATGCCCCGCTTGCGCTCGACCATTGGACTGCTCCCCGACACCATCCTGCCAGAAGTGTCGAGCTTGGCCCCGCCGTGGCGACAAGGGCCGTGCCGAGGGTCAAATGAACAGATACTAGCAGTCCCAACGAGCCGTGTTGGCAACGAGGGACAGCCTCTGAGGATACGCTGCAACACCCATGGCGTGGCGGTGCGGGACCTTCCCATGTGCCAAACGGGTCCTGAGGGCACAGGGCCCGGGACCGCGGAGCGCCCCCCGATGCCCCCGAGGGGCGAGCTCTTCATCCCGAGCAGGCTTTGCTGGGCGGTCCTTGGGTCGGGGGTACGCCCCAGAAGACAAAAGACTGAACAAGTCCAGATGACCCCCTTCTCTTGGGACGCTTTGTCTTCATGGCGATCCTGGAGAATCGATTCCTGGACCTCCCGACGTCTCTTATCGTCCCTTGTGGTGTGTATGGGCCTGAATTTCGAGGGCAGCCCAGCGGTGGCGATGAGCAGACTCCGAGCGAACCCCGAAAGGGACCAGAACTCCCCCAAAACCTCCCTCCTAGAAGCTCGATGGCGAGGATCGCGGCCCCGAATTCCCTCCCCTCTCGCTGGGCGGATCGAGCGGGCGGGCAACGACAGCAGGGGCTGCTGGGAAGACAAACACGTACTGATACCGCTACCCCCTGGACCTCTCCCGGGGTGCGTTCTGACCAGAATTTCGAGGCGAATCCAGCGGTGACGACGAGGGCCTCCCAGGAGGCCCGAAAAAGGGAAAAACGGGCGAAGGGTAGCGGTATGGGTACCTTGCCCCCGCGAGCCTCGATCCTCGGAGCCCGGTGGCGACGATCGCAGCCCCGGGCTCCCTCCCCACCTCGCTGGGCGCCACCGAGCGGGCGGGCAACGACGGCGGGGGCTGCGGCCCCGGGCGCCAGCCCCCTGCAGTCGTCCGGCTGGCGCGCCCCGCAGGCGCTCGCGGCGGCGACCCCTGCGGTCCGCTGCCTTGGGCAGGGGCAACCGTTGCGGCTCGCTTCGAGGAGGAGGAGGAGGAGGAGGAGGAGGAGGAGGAGGAGGAGGAGGAGGAGCTGGAGGAGGAGGAGGAGGAGGAGGAGGAGGAGGAGCAGGATAGGAGGCCTCTCAGAACCACGAGCAGGCGTGGCCCTCGGAGAGGCTGCCGCTCGAGCGATCGCTGTCACAAGGGAGAGCTGGCGGGTGCTCGAGGCGGCCGGCCAGGCGTACCGTCATCGCGTTGCCATCCGACCATGGAGCTGTTCTGGCCACGGCGAGACTCGGCAACGGACACTTAAAACACAAATAATACAAGTAACAATAATCCTATACTCGGCAGCGAAACAGCCTTCGACGACCTAGATCCAAAGCCCCTCCCGAGCTCAGGGTGGTCCTTCTTTCGGCGTCGTGGCTGCAGGAGCTGCGAGCAACGACACCAGCACTGCCATCAAGTTCTCTGTGGTGGTGTGGCGTCGCTGCTTTCCGGCGTCCCGCCCGGGACACTTCCGATCCCCAAGCTCTGAGATGCCCCCGCCAGCGGACCTATTCGCCCTGGGTGGCGCCGCTGGTGGCGCTGATGTCGCGACTCCTTCCTCCGACAAACCTCCCAGCCCAAGGCACGCGACCATCATCCTACCTGCCTGTTTCGTCCCGCCAGCCCCGTCCTCCCGCCTGCGCGTTCGCCGTCGTCCGCCTGCTTCTCATGTCCCCTCCCTCGCCAGGCAGCACAAGCTGCCGCGAAAGAGCCTGCGGTGCGACGACGCCTTGGACCGAAGGCCACCTTGAACCCATCCCGGGGACTCTTTAGGGGGCGACATCAGAACCCAACCCCCACCAACCATCGATTCTCCTGAATCGATGGGAGGCGGGGGTACGATTCGGATTTCCCCAGTGCTCGTCGAATTTTCAATCCTGACCCCGCCGGCCAACGACTTGCGTGAATTGTTGACAGGCGAGGGAAGGGTTGGGATTCTGCCGCCGATCCTTGGAACTCTCGCGCGAGGCTTGTGCACGTGCACGTCCCCCTCCTCCCCCTCCTCCTCCTCCTCCTCCTCCTCCTCCTCCTCCTCCTCCTCCTCTCCGCCTCCTCTTCCTCTCCGCCTCTTCCTCCTCCTCCGCCTCCTCCCTTTCCTCCTCCATCCTTTTCTTCATACACAAATAACTCCCCCCTCTGTCGCGCCCCCAAACGTGTCGGTAGGGCGGGCTGGGTGTTTCGCCTAAGACTTGCTCACCGTGTACGACCTTGACGCTCGACATGTAAACCAGTTTCATGGATGGAGACAATTTTCAAAATGTGGTTCCCGACCTGTCGCCGCGCGCATCCGTCTTAGAAGTTTGCAGCAGCTTCAAGGATGGAGGGCGGGTGGTTTTCAATATTTGGATCTCGCATTAGTGTCGCGCGCATTCGTTGTACGTTTTTGAAACAGCTTCGAAGACGGAGGGCAAGTCCTTCTCAACATGTGTTTCTTGCGCTAACGCAGCGCACGCCCGCCGTAAACATTTCCAGCATATTCACGGATGGAGGGTGACTGCTTTTCAAAATGTGCCTCTCGCCGTAGGGACGCGCACATTCGTCTACAAAGCTTGCAGCAGTTTGAGGGGCTCATAAAATTCAAAGACCAAGAATGGTGCTTCTGTGCGAGTCAGGAAAATCACGACGCAACAGTCACGTCCATTCGCAATTTTGACGTCCCAAGAACGATGTTCCCACGCAATTTAGGATTGTGGCCGCATCAGTCACGTTGGTTCGCGGGGTTCAAATCGCAGGAATGGTGTCTTGGGACGATTGAGCATTCGCAGGCGGATGTGTTATAACGGGGCACCCGCCGCATCGGAAATACATGACTGTAGAGATCTGTATGAAGAAGAAACTTGGAGGGCGGTCTTCTTGCAAGACGGTTGATGCATCTTGCGTTTGCACTGGTCCTCCTCTTCCTCTTCCCTCTTCTTCCTCCTCATCGTCGTCATCATACTCTTCCTCATCATCAACCTCATCATCCTCATCATCATCCTCATCTTGATCATCATATTTACCCTCCAGTGACCAGGAGCAGCACTTGTATCATCACCACCACCATCATCATCGTCACCATCATCACCCACATCATCATCAGCACCAGTACCATCATCATCATCATCATCATCATCATCATCATCATCATCATCATCATCATCATCATCATCATCATCATCATCATCATCATCATCATCCACATCATCATCATCATCACCATCATCACCATCATCATCATCATCCGCATCATCATCATCCGCACCAATCCTCATTCATCCTCCTCATTCCTCCTCCTCCTCCTCCTGTCGACTCACTTCGGTCCTGGATTCTCGGATATCCACGCGGCGGAGGCAGCCCTCCGAGGCCCCCGCGCCCAGCGCCGCTCCGCCGAGCTGGTGTGGGCAGCGCGGCCTGGGCGAGGCGGCTATTTGCTGGCGCGCGCTCGCGAAGCCGCCTGTGTTTGGGAGTAAATGTGGGGGTCGGGCGCAGGGTCCCGGCAATGGTGGCTCTATGCTATGGTCCACGCATGGGCGATGAATCCTCGATTGATGTGCTCGGCGGGGGACCCACTTGAAACACCCCGCCTGCACCCCTGCGCGAAACATGTAGGTAAACGAAGCACGGGGGCGGGGGGCTGGGGAGAGGCGACGAAGGCAACGTGCACTGAGGGCGCAAGATGAAAAAGGTGGATTGATCGAAAGCGACGGAGTGAGTGTCAAAACCTGCTCAACCAATCTGATATGCGGAACACTGCGCCTCAGTTCTGGGGATCTTGAAGGCCAGGGCAAAATGTGAGTTCACAGTGTGGGGGGTACAATCTGTGAACTCACATTCTGGGAAAGAGGAAATGTGAATTCACATGTGGAGAAAAAAAGGCAAATATGAACTCACATTTTGGAAATCCGTATCGGATTCTTCATGGGGAGCCAGAATGTGAATTCACATGTTGGGAAAAAGAGGACAATGTTAATTCAAATCTCAGGAACAAGGACAATCTGAATTCACAGTTTGGGAACATGGCGGGACCCGTTCCGAATCTGTCTTAGGGTTCGACAAGACATCGTTTTGGAACCTACGCGATCATCAATCGCACAATGAAATCGCACTTGCACTCCACTTCGCCGCCCCACGCGCGATATGCAAGAACGCCCGCACGCATGAACGATAATGGATGGACGCCGCGTTTGTCCGCGCGGGCAACGCGCGGGCACGAACGAGTGGCCCAGATATGACCGCCAACATCGGATGTCAATCAGACCCGATCACACGCATTGACGAAATATTGAGCAGACATGGGGCAATCAGCCTCCAATGCAGACCCCCTGTTGCGGAACCCTTCTTTCAACTTTCGACTGGGGGGCAAGCTGCCGGCCAGGGAGGAGGGAGGGATTTTGGATTTCGCTTCAGCCGAAAGTTTGTCCACCTGCAAGCTATACATAACAGAAACATGTTTAATGTCTCTGCTGGGGAGGCTCTCCTCTCCCTGAAGGGGGACGCTGGCTCTGGCGCGACTCTTTCGCACGACCTGCCAACTCGAAACTGCTGGGGGTCCGACTCGGAACGACTCCCACTTTGAATTGATCCCTCCTCCACCTTCCTCCCCCTCCCCCGCGAATAGGCGACCTGAGCGCACATTTGGCGCGCCGCCTCCAGAGGAGCGTCGGGGGTGGCATCCTAGAAGAAGAATCGACGCCCAGTCTCTTGCGTCTATCTGCAATGCCCGGCAGGTGGATACACGAATTGTGCCAGGATTCGTGTAACAAGCAAGTGGCGATACCCCTTGGACTCCCGACCACACCATCCCTTATCTGCCGACCCATTGGGTTCCCGACCACACCATCTCCTGTCTGCCTAGGAGCTCTCAAAATAAACTGCTCAGAGGGAGCAGTTCGTCCAGCACCTTAGCCTCACCTTTACAGGGGTCGGGGTGCTTTCTCCGGAACATCCTATCCCAATTGGACTTGTTATGTGGGCTGGTGAACCTCTCTTTGCAAGGCTCCATTAGTCCTACCGCTCGCCGGCCCTGGCAGAGACATCCGCAAGAGGAGCACACAAATATGAGGTGGTCCTCATCGTAACTGGCTATATAGATTCTGTGGTTGCGCGGGTTGGCAGCGATCGCGCTGAAAGCAGCGTTATAACCTAAACACACTGTGGTCTGAGGCGGGTACTCTGCCCTGCATCTCGTGTAACAGACGCGGCAGGCCCACAAAGTGTGCTTAATCCATTTCCAGTTGTGGCTCTTGGCCTGTCCGGCGACCTCGGGCTGAGGCGCCTGCGTAACCGAAGAAGCACGCATCAGAATTCCATCTCTGGTAGTGGCTCCTGCCGGCACCAAGGAAGGAGGTGGAGGACGGAGGGGAGGAGCGCAAGATGGTGCTGGACGCGCGCTCGCGCTACTTGCGCTCCCTGCAAGCGGCCCTGCCCTCCCCACAGATTGGCCCATCGGGCTGGCAGGAAGAAAATCGCCGATTAGCTCGGCCACGAAAGCAACCCTCCCCATCTTGGAAGGATCCCCGCCGCCTGCTCTCGTATAGCTCTTCTTCCCCTTTGGGGCAAGTGCTGGCCACAATTCTAAAGCACGTGGGACATACTTTAAATATGCCTTTAAAACCTTGCCCTGGTTACTATGGGCTTCTAGCTCAGCAGCGCTAGGGGCCGCGTGCAAATTTGCCCCCATTTTGGCGGCCACGTCTGCTTGATTATTGCCTACAGCGCTGATCCACTGCGCAGACATAGGCGTCAGAGAAGATCCGTCCTGATGTGCCTCTACTTTGCTTACTTGAAAGTCCTTATGCGCATGAGCTCGGATTCTGAGCTTGACTCCTGCATAGAAGGACTTCTTGCAACAATACGCACTTACAGACTGCTGCATAACAGAAGCTACACCAGCGTAGTCGGACGCTTCCTCGGTGACTAGCGGGAGGTGTGAAACTGTTGCAAGCACTGCTAAGTGCTCCCCTGCACCAGATGTTTGCGGCAGTTGCTGACCTACCTGGCCCACCATTCGTGCCTTAAGCTCGCCGGCAGGAGATATCTTCGAGATCCCCCAGCCTGCGCGATTAAAACATTTATGATGAGCCTTGAAACAACTGCCATCAACATGAACTTTGCCCGTAAAGGCCTGCTCATAACTCAAATCATCTGAAGACCAAAACTCAAACGTTTCGTGTCCTAAACCCGCCGGGGGCGCTACCTGGAAATTGGGGTGGGGCTGCAGCCCGCACACTAATGCCTTGCAGGCGTCAGGCATCCAAAACACTGAATCAAAATCCTCTGGCAGCATTTCCTCCCTAAATTGGCGAGTCAGAGGGCAATGGATCAGCCGGTGATGCAGATCGTCTGCAGGAGCTCCACATGGGCACCCAACATCGTGCACTTCATAACCGTGATCCGCCAGACGCTTCTTGGACCATACCGCGTGGGAAAGAAAAGCTAGCAGGAACTTTCTGTGACGGGGAGTCATGTCCTTATCTTGTAGGACTTGTCGAACAATGCCTGGATCCAGGGTCTCGTCGTCCGGTATTCCCAGCTTGTGGCAAATTTCGAAGGAGCACTTCCTATCCCAACTGTCTTTCAGAAACTTCTGAATCATCTGCGGGGAGGTGTCCGTAAGATTGTACGTCTGCCCCGCGTCGCTGGTTACAACAAACGGGGAGGAGAAGAACCATCTCACTCTGCGAAGTGACAGAGCTGCTATTCCAAAAGGGCCCCGAGCCCGTCCCCACTTATTCGGTAGCTTGGCTAAGATGTCCTGCACAAGCCCCCTCAACTTTGGGAGGGGCCATTCCCTCCTCATCCGTGTATCCATGTGGCTCTTCCATACCAGACTTGACCACTGCAGAAATGGGGCCACTGCTTGCTTCCACAGGGGGTTGTCTAAGAAGTACAAGGAAAGACTCTTGGATGTGCTCTTTGATGGGCTGCCTGCAACCCTAAGGAAATGCGACTCAGCCTGATCAAGCTCCAAAGGATCTAAGCCGTGAATATCTGCCCCGTAGAACCCAAAAGCCTGAAGTCCTGTGACGAACATCTTTCTCATATCTGCACCTGCCTTCTGAAGGGCATAGAGGAAGGGGGAGGTGGAAGGAGGTGGAGGAGGGAGGAGGGAGGAGGGCATACCAATAGGAACGGGCCATACCCGCGTATTGTGCGCTGGACGGTATTAAAATGCCACCGCTGCATCACAAGGTCCGCCCTGGGGGAGAGAATCCGATGCCGCCCAGGAGCGCTGCAGGGGCCGTGGGGTCGGTCAGAATTCATGCGCGACGGGGGGATCCCAAGGGGACTCCATGCAACTCAACGGGAGACTTCGGGGGAACGTAGAAGTGGGTTAAGGGGTAGAGGCGGGGCTACAGGGAAACTGCTCTATAAGGCCCCTGGAAGGAGGAAATGTCAGCATCCAGCTGGGTTCGCTCACTTACCCCACCTTGGGATAACCCACGAGGAGGACGAGGGAGGAGGAGCAGGAAGACGAGGGACGAGGAGGAGAATGAGGAGGAGAGAGGAGGAGAAGGAGGAGCAGGAGGGAGGAGGAGGGAGGAGGAGGAGGAGGAGGAGGAGGAGGAGGAGGAGGAGAAGGAGGAGGAGGAGGAGGAGGAGGGAGGAGGATCAGGAGGATGAGGAGGAGGAGGAATAGGAGGAGGAGAAGGAAGAGGAAGAGGAGGAGGAGGACGACCCGTCACGAACCCCCGAAACAGGAGAGAGAGAGAGAGAGAGAACAAAAAAGGGGGAGAGAAAACGGCGTCCTGGGTCGTGGGACCCGGGCCACACCGCGAGCGCGCCCTGTGCTGGCAGAGCCTCGCAGCCAGCAAGCGGCTGCGACCGCGGCCGCGACGGCGACAACGACGACGAGCATCCTGCCAAGACTTGGCGGGTTTCGCAACAATCATTATCATCCTTTTCCACCTGCTGCTCAGAGTCCTCCTCCTCCTACTCCTCCTCCTCCTCCTTCATCATCATCATCATCATCATCATCATCATCATCATCATCATCATCATCATCATCATCATCACCATCGTCGTCATCATCATCGCAATCATCCGAATCACCATCATCATCATCATCATCATCAGCATCATCATCATAAACATGATCAGCATGATCACCATCATCATCATCATCATCATCATCATCATCATCATCATCATCATCATCATCATCATCATCATGGTCATCATCATCGTCATCATCATAATCATAATCATCATGCTCATCATAATCATCACCGTCCTCCTCCTCCTCATCATCATCAGCACCACCACCACCACCACCATCATCATCATCAGCATCAACATCATCACCACAGCATCATGAGCAGCAGCACAACCACCGTCACCACAGCATCATCACCACCACCACCACCATCATCATCATCATCATAATCATAATACTAATCATAATCATCACTACCGCCATCATCATCATCGTCGTCATCATCAGCATAATTATTACCAGTATCATCATGATCATCCAACTATAATATCAAGGTGTCATTGCCCTCATCAGAATTCGCAATCTCAAGCGATCAGCAGCAACACCACTAACATTGCCAGCCCCATGAACTAGCATAACCGTTTTCATCGCCAAGATCATGAACATCATCATCAGCAGCATCATCATCACCATCATCATAATCATCATCACCATGGTCATCATCATCAAGCTGCAATGAGCAGCTGTCATTACCGTCCTCAGGGCCTCGCCCTCGAGGACCGAAGGGCTTGGCACCTCTTCCACGGCGGAGGGCGGCGAAGTGCCGGCGGAGGCAGAACGAGGCCGCCGCCGCCGGCGGAGACCGGCGGAGGACAGGCGGGCAAGACCGTTCTGATGAGCGCACGCGCGCCTCTAAGGTTACGGATTTCGCTCCAAACCTGAGACCAACTGCTGAAGCCCTTACGCTTACAAAGCGTACGATTAATGCTGCGCACGCAGATGTGGATGGAGGGATCTTGGCACTGCTGCTGGATTGGGCTAGAAGCTTTGAGCCGAATACGGCCAGATTCAACATGCAAAACTTTGGAGAGAATCGGGTTCCCCGCCGGACTTGTGGAAATGCTAGCCAGCTTGGGCCCAAAACAAGGATTTCTTGTACAAAGGCCCACCGCAAGTCGTCCCACCCCTTCTCCGTGGCATCCGTTACAAAAATGACTCAAGCCCCAATCAATCGTCCCGGCTTTCCCCGAGCGACTTTCCGTGAGCGCGCACATGGAACAAGAAAATGCGGCTGAATTTACCCCCTTCCCCCCCTGTTTGTGGGCCACGGGGCCCAAGACGGCGCCAAGAGGCACCCCATACCCCCCCAGAGAGCCCCAAGAGGGCCCCTAGAACCCCCAACAGAATCCCACGAGGGCCCCAAACGTGCCCCAAGTGGCTCCGCGAGGACCCCAAGAGAGACCCAAGACGCCTCCAATAGACCCAAGACGGCTCCAAGAGACCTCCGAGAAAACACTTCCAAGGCGGCTGTTGCACCGCGTGCTTCTACACTTCCCTGATCAAGGCAAGCCACCTTGCGATCTGTTTCTGGATGGGCTGGTGGGGATACACTAAGCGTCAAGAATTCCAAACATTACACATCTCCAGAATTCATTAAAATGGTGACAGTCGCACGGGCTGGGGTCTCGAGAGTGGCGGCACAAAAAAATCTTCGCCCATACCTTTACTTTCGACGTTTTCGGCCCGAACATTCGATCGACAAATCAGAAGAAGCCTCCTTGCGGCCTTCCATCGGCCGCAACTAGCATCTGACAGAATGGACCCGCAGAGCGGGCAAAGAATGCTGACACGACCTCGCTCTAAGAGAATCCTGAACTTGGGGTGACGACAATTTTATACTTTGTGAAAACGTTGGCTCTTACATTGGCGCCACCGCCGGGAAAGCCGGGACGACTGAACAGGAGTCTCTGAAATATACGCGGTGCTATCTACATGGTGCAATTGATTTTTACAAGCGAGTTGACACATCCCGTGCTCTTGCAAACACCCCATCCGCCCACCCGCAACTTGGTTTGCAAAACCCATGCGGCGGCGATTGCGAAGAGTGATTGGCGTTGGCTGGTGCATCTCTGCGGCCGCGCTAGCCCGCGCATGTACGCGCGCACACCGGCCAGCAGTTTGGCGCGACCGACGCGGCCGCGGTGGCGCTGACCGCTGGACACTTCCCCGCGGGCACTTCAGTGCGAGTCGGTGACTTGGGCGGGCGCCGTATCATGGCGACGCCGACAACGGTAGACACGATTATGAGAGTAGCGATGGTGACGAAGGTGGCGATGACGACGGCAAGGCCAATCACGGCGCCGATGTTGATAACGCCCGCCGATAACGATGACGATGTCCTCGCTTCGGCGATGCAGGTTTTTGAACGTGTTCGACATGCGTACGCGGCCGACGCGCGCGATTGGCCAGCGTGGTATTGTTTGACACGGATCGTGCCTTCCCCCCAGCACGCGCGCAAGGGTTGTCGAATGACTTCGACATGCGGCGCGAAATGCCCGTTTGGCAGAATGTGATGAACATGTTGGAACGCCGATGGTTTTTGCTAAGAATCCACAAGAGCGCGAGCGCAGGAGGTTTTGCAAACTGATGTTACAAAACCGTGTGTTTATTATATATGTATGTACAAGACTGCAGTGGCGCTTCGCGCCATACACCTTGGTACTTGAAGTTTGGTATGCAGGCGGATTGGCAGGAAGGTCAAGCCGACAATTTAGCGATAAAATCCTTCTTGCCTGTTCCGACATCGCCGTTATAATAATGTTATTCGTTACCCTTCCTCAATGTTATTCGTTATCCTTCCTCCTCCATGGAGAGTCTCTGGGGGCCTCGCAAAAAAAAAATCAAGCTTTCTTGAGGCCTTCTGGAGGCCTCGTGGGCGTGTTCTGGGGGCCTTTGGGGGCTTCCTCGGGCCACCCTGCCTCCAACCGCGGTCTCCCTGAACGACCGTGTCACGATTCGGAATGCTTCGGAGGGTGTCTTGGGGCCATCTTGGGCCGCCATGGGGCTCTCTTAGGGCCATCTTGGACCTCTGTTGTGCCGTTTTGGGGCCCTCTTGGACTGCCTTGAAGCCCTTTCGGATGGTTTTGGGGTGATTTGGGAGCCTCCCAGGCGGCCTCGGACACCCAAAAGACCGCCGTCTTGGAGCGTCGGGAAGCCGAAAAGAGGATAACCCCCAAATTCAACAAAAACCAAGAGAAAATCATTGAATTTTGCCTCTTGGGGCCTTCTTGGGGGTGCTCTTGGAGGCCTCCTGGAACGTTTTGGAGCGATCTTTGGGGGTATGACGGCTTCTTGGGGGTCGTCGTGGACCGTATTGGGGCTCTCTGGGGTCGCTTCGGGAGCGCGCCGGAACGCCTAGGTATGGGGCCGTCTTCGGGCTCTGGTGAGGTTCTCCTGGGTCGTCTGAAGGGTTGCCTGGAGGCCCGGGGAAGGCCAACTTCGTTGGGGGGGGGCTTCTTCCGGCATCCCCGGCCCTATAAAAATATACGATATCGGAATACTCAGGGCACTCGGTTTTGAAATCCTTACGAGACCGACGGTTGTTCAAGGATTCCGGCATGCGCGCGCGACGACGCGCGCGTGTACACTTCGTCCAATCTGTTGCAAGGTGTTCGAATGATTTCGACCCGCGCGCGCAAGAGGCCAATTTGGAAGCATTGTATGAACGAGTTGACACTTGTGATGGATGGATTCATAATGCGCAAGAGCACGGGCGCTTTATTGAATGTTTGAAATTTCTTGTTGTCAAGCTATGTGTTGTATATGTTTTCGTGACGCTCGATGGTGAAATCCTTACGGAACCGAAGGTTTTTAACATATTTAAAAAAAATTCGGTCGTCCCGCTTTTGCAAGGCATACTTGGAAACTGATGATTCTGATAAGCGAGAGTGCGCGCATAGCAGCTTCTGCAGAAGATGGCAAAGGGTCATGATACCAGCTGGGCTGGGATGGTATGAGTTCACATGTGAAACGGACAATGATAATCACATGCAAATTGCATATCACGAGGGAGACCGTTAACTCTGGCCTCGGGAGGGGGGGCGAATCTATTACTCTTTTGGGAAAGAAAATCAACGTGGTGCAATATAGGTGGCGCAGAACAATGCGGAGCCATGCAAAACTTTTGCAACAAACAATGCAGAAAACATTTCAAAAAAATGCGGGCGGCGACGAGGCTGCAAAAGGGCGGCGACGGCGGCCACATAGCCGCCAGACCGCCGCGCAGGCCCAGACGACGAGCGGCGACGAAGCGGCGACGGGGCGGCGACGACGACCATAAGGCGGCGGACCCGACGCGTAGGCCCAGGCGACGGGCGGCGACGATGCGGCGACGGTGCCCACAAATTTGCCAGACCGACGCGCAAGCCCAGTACCTAAGAAAGTGTTAGCCAGCGCGGACACAAAACACTCTACCTCTAGCAACTGTGTTGCAATCTAAGTGGTGCAATTGATTTTACAAACGAGTTGACACACCCCATGCTCTTGCAAACATCCCACCCACCCACCCGCAACTTGGTTTGCAAAACCCACGCGGTGGCGATTGCGATGCACGCTATGCATTGGCTGGTGCATCTGTGCGGCCGCGCCAACCCTAGCACGCGCGAGCAACGGCCAGCTAGTTTGGCGCGGCAGATGCGGCCACGGTGGCGCTGACCGCTGGGCGCACCCCAACGGGCACTTCACTGCGAGTCGGCGACTTGGGCGGGCGCGGTATCATGGCAACGACGACTGCGGCGGACACGATGATGATAGTGGCCTGGCTGGTGACGATGTTCGCACCGACGACAACGCGGCCAGTGCGGGC